AGAGATTTAGAGATAAGGGCTCGCACAACATTATTGATGTCCATGGATACTGAACTGCAGGTCACTTTTCCACCAAACACAACAGCCCGACAAATTTGGGCTGAATTGGAAAATTGCTACAGGCCTATCTCAATTGAATCTTCATGTCTACTCATGTCTGAACTCCACGGTTCGAGATTGAAACCCGGTGAACAAATTGGAGGACATTTGACCAAACTGAAAGGTCTGAGAACAGAATTGAGAGAAAGAGGCCATAACATTGAAGATATTCAAATGATCAGCATCATTATTAACTCTTTGAATTATGAATGGAAAGATGCTGTTACAAAAATTAACCAAATCCCTATTGCTCAACGCACAGTGGAAATGTCTGTAGACTTTTAATTGAAGAAGAGGCATTCATGCTGGCCACACCACACTTGAGAGGACCACCCGCATCAAAAGCTCCAGCTAGGCGCCCCTTCCGAGGAAGGACCTATGCTCCAAGGATGCCAAAATGCAACACCTGCAATCGTGTGGGACATGCCACCCGGGATTGTCCCCAACAAGTTCCAGCTCCCGTCACATACCAGCCCAGAGGAACAGATTCCAGAGGCAGAGGCAGAGACGGAAGACAAGGTCGTCGTGGTCCCCGGCGTGATCCACAAACTCCACTCGCCACACTGGCTTTAACCAATGATCCACAACCTCAACCAGAGTACGACAGACGACTCCTGTGGACTTTGGACAGTAGTGCAGCATTGCATGTTACCTACAGAAAGGAACTTTTCACAGAGATGCACGAGCCTGAACCAGAACTACGTGAACTTTATTCTTTTTCAAATCATCCTTGTCAGGTCAAAGGAAAAGGAACTGTTTATGTTGAAGAGCTCGATGCATTCATTCCTGATGTTTATTACATACCAGCAGCAACCAGTAATTTGCTTAGTCAGTGTCACTTGTCTAGAATGTTAAAGTTCCAAGTTCACCACCTTGAAAAAGCAAGTTACATAGTTAAAGATGGAGATATTGTTGCTGAAACCATATTAATTGGTGGTGTTTATTACTTAAAGCCAAAGCCTAAACCACAAACACAGGCAAATATGCAAACTCCAAAAAGGGAACGCACAGGCCCAGATAGAGATGCTCCAGAGAGAGATCCTGTTGCAATCCCTAAGGCTCCTAAAGCCAACAAAAAGAAAGTTGGTAAACAGTTTGCTCAGAGCAAGCCTGAGGTTCCGCATAAAAATGTTAATGTTGAGAATTCACTAACTGGTAAACCTTTGCATTCCAGGTGTATCCACAAATGGCATAGAAGATTGGGGCATGCCAGTTTCCGTGTTCTTAGGAAGATGCCGGAGTTCGCAAAAGGTTTGGATCTAAAGGGGTGTAAGGTGTTTTTGGATTGTGCTGTATGCAAGAAGGCCAAATCCAAAGCAGCAGCCATTCCCAAACACGCTACACGCCTGTCAACACGCATTTTTGATTTGGTTCACATTGACATAGTTGGTCCATTCCCGCCATCATTTGGTGGTAGAAAATATTTTCTAACAATTGTTGATAATTACTCTAGATATGGATATGTGTATCCTATGAAAGAAAAATCAGAGACCTTTCAGATCTTTAAAGACTTTGCAACCCTTGTTTCTACCCAACACCAAGTTCGCATCGCCAGAATCCAGAGTGATCGTGGTGCCGAATTCATGTCTCAGCGTTTCCAGGACTGGATGCGTAAGAATGGAATTATTCATCAGACTTCACCCCCTGACATACCGGCTCACAACGGAGAGGTACTGCAAACCATGATGCGTTGTCTCCTAGAAGACGCCAACCTTGGTGAGATATACTGGGGTGAAGCTATCAAGTATGCAAATTACATTGTCAACCGTACTTGGAGCAGTGTAACAAATCAGACTCCTTTCTTTATATTGTATGGCTACAAGCCCGATCTTAAAAACATCCATATTTTTGGTTCATATGCTATGGTGAACATTCCCTTAGCTCAAAGAAGAAAAGGAGGTCCAGCAGCAAAGAGACTGAGATTTATGGGTATTGATGATAACTCAAAATGGAGCAAATTTATTGACTCTAAACATGCAATTGTGATTTCCCAATCTGCTAATTTTGAGGAAGATATTGACTGGTCCAGGATTCATTCCAATGATCCTGGAGTTTATTTTCCTAGAGATGATACTGCTGATGCCACGCAGATTGATGATCAAGATTCCACTGATTCTTCTCAACCCAATGTTCCGTCTTCGCAAGCCGCGGATGCTGACGCTAGTGACGAAAGTGAGGACGAGGACGAAGCAGAAGAAGATTGGACAGTTGTTCCGAGATGTTCCAAGAGGGCCACAAAAGGGATCCCTCCACAACGATATTCTTGGCAACTGACAAAAGCACCCTTGCCTTTGATTTGCAATGTCACACTTCCACCTGATAATTTCACGCAAATCAAGCAGCTCCCTGATTCAGAGCAAGACAAATGGTATGATGCAATGCAGGTTGAAATGGATAGTCTAAAGAAACTTAAGGTATTTACACCTGCAAAACCTCCAGCAAACAAAAAGGTCATTGGCACTCGATGGGTCTATAGAATCAAAAAGAAACCAAATGGTGAGTCACTGTACAAGGCCAGACTTGTAGCTCAGGGTTTCGCTCAACGTTATCCTGAGGACTACACAAATACCTACTCACCGACAGTCAGAACTGAGAGTGTAAAAATTGCTTTAGCAACTGCAACTATCCTTGGTTTAGAAGTTTTCCAGTTTGATGTTGACACGGCTTATCTACATGCAGACCTAGACGAAGAGATCTACGTGAGAAGTCCTCCAGGATTCCGACAGCAAGAAGGGGATACCTGGTTCCTAAACAAAAGTCTCTATGGTCTGAAACAATCTGGTTTAATGTGGTATTTATGTCTTACTGACAAACTAAATTCAATGGGCTTTATTAAGTCCGAAACTGATGAGTGCGTGTTCACAAAAAGATCTAACAATGCATATGAGATAGTTCTTGTTTATGTTGATGATATTGTTTATATTGGTCCAAATAAGCAAATGAGTGAAATTTTTGCCAAAGCTTTACAGAGATACTTCACATTGAAATCATTAGGTCACATTAGCACTTATTTAGGTGTTCAGATTGAAAAGACACAGAAGGGGTTTAGTCTTTCACAAGAAGATAAAATTGAACAAGTTTTGCATCATTGCAACATGAAAGATGCTAACACAACAAAGACACCCATGCAAACAGATTTTCACAACTTGACACAAGAAGAAAGTCCTGAGTTCGAGGATCAAACACTTTATCGTTCAGTCATTGGGTCACTATTGTACATTAGTAGTTGGACCAGACCCAACATTGCACTTAGTGTTAATCTCTTATCACGACACGTAGGTAAGGCAAAACAGTTTCATTGGACATGTATTAAGAAATTATTGAGATACCTAAAATACACTAAACACATGAAGTTATTGTTAGAACCAACACATACTGATTATGCAGAATTATGTTGTTATGCAGATTCTGATTGGGCAAGTGATAAGAAATCACGTAAAAGTACTTCAGGTTATATGATGTTCTTAAATGGATGTCCTGTTTATTGGCAAGTACGTAAACAGAATTTTGTTTCTTGTTCATCTACTGAAGCTGAATATGCTTGTGTTTCAGATGCATGTAATTCTCTAACTTGGTTTGATGCTTTAGTCACAGATATCTGGACACACCCGATCCGACCGATCACCGTGATGGAAGACAATGAATCGGTGGTTTATATTTCTGAATCTCATTTCACAGGTTCTAGGTCCAGACACATTGACATTCGTTACCAAAACATAAAGCATTTAGTGAAAAAAGGTTTTGTTAAAATGCAATATGTATCTACACATGATCAAATTGCTGATATGCTCAACAAACCACTTCCAGCAGCTCAACATGAGTATCTGCGCAAGAAGATGTGCCTTATTTGATGATGTACTGATATTCGCTCAACTGGCAAAAGAAGGGGAATGTCACTGCGTTATTTTATTTACCAGCTGAGCTCATCATTTCTGGACTGTCAGACTCTCCGTAGCTTTGCCAACTTCTTATCAGTAAACTACGTGTTTCCGTATCCACCCACATTCCTTCTCACACTCTTTCTTTTGTTCTCTTGCCAGAGGTCCGGCTCAGATAGCCGGCAAGAATTATTTTCAAAAATGTAACAATTAACTTTTCTTAGTTAGTGAGGTGTTTTATTTTCTTTATAACAAATAAATGAGTTTTATTAGAAACCTTCCTCGCTTTTCTTTTCAGATTATTACAATTTGGAATAAGCCACGATCCATCTCCTCCAAACCAGGGTAATTAGTCCCAGAGCCAAACATGGGATTAATAAATGCCCTGACAATGTTGCCCAAATGTATTTGGGGACAGAGCTGCCATCAGCAAGATTCCCTCTTTGAGGGAGATGGACAGTTCAGAAATATAAAAACATAACTAAATAAAATTATGGTTGAGGTGGGCCCGAAATTGTAAATATCAAAAGTTGTTTGTATCATTACAAGCTCTGTTATTGTGTTTTTCTTTTAAGACACAAGATATTAATGTATGAGTTGATTTTTCTAAACTAAAACCTCAGTATTCAATTTAAATTGCTGTATTGGCACTTTGTGATAAATAAGTGGGTTTTGGGTTGCAGTTTGGGCACTGGACCCACCTCCACTGTCACTAGATTCTGAGTCTAACAACAGGGTGATTTTACCCTTCAAGTTTGTTTCCAAATGATATTGAATTTGTGATGTTTAAGCTCTACATTACAAGATGGTTTTTTAATGAAAAAATTCTTGTTTTAAGTAGGAAAACTCTAAAAAAAACTTATGCAGAAGAAAACATTTACTGCACTGAAAGGCCTTTGGTTGAGTCTCACCAGGGATATTAGACCACTTCATGAAGGTTACGTTTTTTATAATATTTTGGTAGATTATTACACTAAATTACAAATACTTACAAACACATGTACGCAATACATTGACCAGTCATTTTGCTCTTCCACAGAATTCATTTATTTATTTGTTTATTTAATTATAACATTTATAAAGCTGCCCATCTTTAAATCAACTCTGGGCGGCTCCAATCAAAAATTAAAAATCATATCAAATCATATCAAACTACAAACCACAACTGATTAAAACATTAAAAACACCAAAACCTGACATATAGTTTGCATGAATGGCATCAAATCAGTTCTAGATTAGATTTAGTAAAAGAATTTTACTAAAATTATAGTTGGAGTGCAAAGAATTTTGGTGATCTTATTTTCTTAATCAAGTTTACAGTGTGGCCCTTTTTTGATGTTACCCAGGTCTGTGATTTTTCCTATGACCCTTTGAACTTACAGTTTTCATCCCTAGCCTCTACTCCTGCTTATGTTTCCCTTAGGCATTCATAGGACACTCATGCAAAGTATATGAAATCAAATGTCATGTAAGAATTTGCTGATACTAAAAGATGCCATGATTTTAAGATTTTTCTGACAGAGAAAACAAATATTGAATGGGAGATCCTCTATATTATTTCGGTGGGGCAGAAGCAAGTAGCAGGGCAATTTTCCCTGATCCAATCATTCTGGCAGTTACTTTGTTGCACTAAACTTTTGCAGTTTGTGAACTCATCTTTATGTAAGCAAGGATTTGCTGAAAATTTTAAAAAGAGAAGAAATGTAAATAAATGTGAGACATTATCAGAAGTATAACTGCTAGGAACACTTTTATAATTGTATGCAATATTTTAGAGCTCAAAAATCAAACCTGTTAATTTTTAAAAATGGGTGGATTCAAAGGCGAAGATTTTTTAAAAGGAAAATATTACTTAGAGTAATTATTTTAGAGTATATATTAAAGTAATTGTATGCAGCTGCTGAATTATTACTTTCAGCAATAGTCCTGAACAAAATCGAACAAAAAGCTGGTATGGATTTTAAGTTCTTCCTAAACTGAAATGGATTGATATTATCCTTGTATTTCCTGATTCAATTGCCTGGGCTCATTGACCACTAGTGTGGGAGCATATAGAAGCACCATTGAGGCAACTCTAGATGTCTGGTTATCCCACAATAAAAAGCTTCGTGTATGTGATGATCCAGTTGTCTTGCCTAGATTTGTCTTGCTGGATAGCTGGCCATCTTCCATTATGCCTGTTATTCTACCTAGACATGGTTATCTCTTTAAATGAAATCTATTCTTGGGTGATATGACATGGCCTTTACAAATGTTGGTTTAATAATTGATCTTTTTTTTTTAACTTACTGCATAGTCCGTTGTCACAAGCTGAAGGACAGTCCCCACAAGTTGGCCCTGATTTATATGGAGTAGCAGTTGAACCTTTGAGGTTCCCTCTGGAATGAAAAAGATGAACAGAATGGTGTCATATATTACTATTCTTATATTTGTGATTGCCGAAACCCCCATGTGGTATCAATAGATAATTGACTTTGGTTGCATTGTCTTGGTCTCTCTGGTTTGGGATTCCAGTTTTGAGAGAGCAGACAGCACCACCATTGGAGGGAAAGACCTGACTTCTGAAGTCTTCTCCAAAAGGCAGTAAATCCTGCCAAGTTTTGTGAGAGAGCAAAAAAAGATTTTCCCGGCTTGTTGCAGAAATAATTGAGAGAAACTTTTACTTCTGCCTCATGTCTTCCTCTTTCCCCTCTTTCATTTTTCCTCTTTCTTTGTTAACATTCTCCTTCTCCTATCTCTCTGTCTTTCTCAATTCTCTCTAAGCAACACAGAAATGATTTCCTCCTTTCCTGCCAATCATAGGCCATGATCACTTGAGGATGCAAGTCTGCCTTCTATGCATGTCATCCACGCTGTCTCTCTGCATGTTATCTTATGCATGTTTGTTTTCAGGTATTTCCCATAATTGGGGAGAGATTATGTGACAAAATATGTGACTACAGGTTGAAGATTTTCAATTCTGTTCTTGGAATTGCCACTCAAGTTAAAAAAAATAAGGTGCATAGAAAAGTAAGCAAAATGAATACAAAACTGAACAGGATTTGGACAAAAATTAAATTTAATTATCCATTCATAAAAATCCATCCATAAATATCCATCCATAAACATCCATCCACAGCTTTCAATTTTTTAATATTTTCTGGATGGATGAATTGAATGAATTTTGAGACTACTCAGTTTCAAAATGACTCTGTTCAGCTTCACAAGTGAAAGAAACAATATTATATTAAAAAACAGATATCCAAGCAATAACATAACATCCTACCACATCATGACCAACACAGAAGGATATTTCAGGGAAATTGTAGAATTATATAGGTAGTTTTTATTCAATGATTGACTTAGGACAGCAAACCTTTGCAGTTATGATGGTGAAAAAAAATCAACATTGCTACCAATTTTTGCCTTTACAACCTTTGCTGGTCTGTAAAAGTAGAGGAAAGTGAGATTGACACAGTAACACAGTCATTATTCCGCTTTTTGACCACTTGGCTTAATGACTGAGTTGCCAGTCCAAATTGTGGTCACTAAATGAGGAGTACCTGTATAGCCTTTTGTTTAAAAAATCCCAAGGTCAGTTTTGATTTAACTCTCTTCATAACCCATTGCAGAAACAATAGAGATATATAATTGGAAGATTTCCTGAAATAAAATATAACTAAGAGTATATGTCAGCCAATCTTATGAAAATTTAGGTATATTTGATTTTATTGCTAGGTAAAAGCATCTGCAGGAAAGAACAATGATGTTACAGCACAAACTTTGTGGCTTAATATATTGTGTCTAATCAGGGCACAAGAACAAAAGAGTGGGATTTGCATTGTGCTGTCATAATGCCTATTTCATCATTTTTTCCATCATGACAACTAGCAGTTCAAACATCTTTTGCTAGATAACATTTCTGGCAGTGAAAATTTCCTGAAGATTATTGAAGAAAACCTGTGCCATTATGGATTCTATCCTAAAGCATCACTGGCTCTGGGACAGGACGAGGACATGTTCATTCTTAGCAAAAAGGATTCTTCTTGTAGAAGCGCAAGTGGAACATAGTAAATTACTTTTGAGGATAGCATTAGGAAATTATATTTTTTCAAACTGGCGAAGTCAGTAAATAGTACCTGAGATTTTTCATTCCTATAATTTCATATTCCTCCATCAGTCACCTTCAAAGTCAGATTTAGGAAAATCACCTACACAGAAAGGTGCCTCATATGCCTCAGACCCATTTCTTAGAATTTAGCTCTTAGAAATTCTTCGTTGGAGCCCCTATTTCAAATAATCCTTGGTGTCTTGATATAATTCTTTTTCAAAATCTTATATTGAACAAATATCAACTCCAAAAAAACATACACTATGGCTAAACTTGAATTATTAGCATGCAAAACTTATTGCAGTTAATTAACATATAATAAATCTAGCTAGGAATAGCCATATTTTATTGCTACATTTGCATTTATTTTGTTCTTTTTATCGTACACTGCTTTATGTTTGGGTGTAAGATTGTAAATAACATTTGATTAAAATTTGATTTAAGTTCATTGTTTTCTTTTCCAGGGCAATCAGAATCACTCTAATTAGACTTGCCATAAATGTGACAAACATAGAAATCATAGTTGATACATACCCTGGGCAGTACTGACAAACATAGAAGTAGTTGTATGAAGATGAAGGACAATAGTAAGCAGCACAACCAATACGGTAACTTTTGTACCAAACTATCTGTAGATACAAAAATATGCACATAGGTTAATATGCTAGAAGCTTAATATTGGTAATAAACATATGGACTTCAGAGGCGCATGTAAGAAAATAAACCCAGATGCGAGCATGTTGCAGTATATACAGTATACCACAATAACAATAAGTGTACAAAGAACTTCTCCAATCATTTCATATAAAAATTTGCCAAAGCAAAGAAATGTTAAAACAAATAAGGCTTCATCCTCTGTGTTTTAAATGTATATATTTAAAATATAAAATATGAAACTGTTTCATCCTGATCTTTATAGACCATCTCTTTCTAAAGTGCCCCACCACATCCAAAGCAGTTTACGTGTCAAGTGCTATGACCAGCAAGCTAGTTCCTCCTTCCCAGCTGCATGAAAGCCAAGGTCTTAATGGGCAGCTATTTGTGAATAACAAATAACACATTTAGTATGTTTTCAATCCTTCATTTACTCCATATCAGTACTTAAAAAACAAAATAGTGCAACATTTAACCTAATCTAGTTTTTCCTTTTCCTTAACATGCACCGGGACTAGGGCTCCTGTGCTCAGATCTATGGAATTATTTAGTGATTTTAAGGACACAAGGGACGCGGTAGCTCAGTAGCTAAGATGCTGAGCTTGTTGATCGAAAGGTCAGCAGTTCAGTGGTTTGAATCCCTAGTGCCACATAACAGGTTGAGCTCTTGTCCCAGCTTCTGCCAACCTAGCAGTTTGAAAGCACGTAAACAATGCAAATAGAAAAATAGAGACCACCTTTGGTGGGATGATAACAGTGTTCCATGTGCCTTTGGCGTTTAGTCATGCCAGCCACGTGACCATGGAGACAGTGCTGGCTCTTTGGCTTTGAAACGGAGATGAGCACCACCCTCTAGAGTCGGGAACGATTAGCACATATATGCGAGGGGAACCTTAAAGACACAGTTGCTTGATTTTCTTGGCCACAGCACAGAAAACTGTTTTGCTATTAATTTTTTGTGGGATGTTTTCTCAATTTTCCAGTCTAGCTTCAAGCAATGATTTTCCCATTTAACAAGCAGGCCTGGCCTAGGTTAGTGATTCAGGATCAGCCATGGACTTAAGCTTAATTCAAGGGAATCTACCTTTTTTATCTCATTTATTTTTATGGATTTATACTTGGTGAACATAGAAATGGCAAAGATATAAAAAAGTACTACCTGAGTATAATGGCCAATAACAGAACCTTCTGGGTTTGCTCCAACACCATAGATGAAATTTTTGTATTCATTATACCAAAGCTGAATTATTTCAGTCCATGCCAAGGGAACACTTGACATGTATATATTTTCACCACATTTTATTCCTTCTAAAAGTGGGTAGGGTTAAAAAAAAGCAACAGCAAGAAAACACAGGTGAATACATGTTTTGAAAGAAGCAAAAGGACAGCAGAAAGGAGATAGCTGAGCATTTCTTATCTCTCCAGAAATACTAATGCAATCATCTTGCTAAACTATTGGAAAGGAAATGAACATTTTGTACCCAGATCTCTTATCATAATGCTTTTGCAGAACCTTTAATCGTTCAAAGTAGTAATCAATTGTTTTCTGATGAGCATTTAAAAACAATAATATAGTTTATTTAGAAGTAAATTAGAATCCAGATGCCCTATTTTGTGGGTACATCTGTATGTTAATACATAGTGTGGCATTGAGATTAGGGAGATTCAGTTTTAATTCTCCACTAACCATTGAAATCTCTGAACATCTTTGGGCTTGGCATCTACCATCACAAACAACTGTGATGAGGACAATATCTGTAGCATCTTGGGGTGGATGGTGGATTATAAATGTAGTAATGTATAATATAAAAAAGAAATGAAAAAAAATCATTTTTCAAGTATAATTTTTCTTGCAAACTTGGGGGGAGGGGAATTAAGAAAATTATTACTGTCTTAATCCTTCTACCACCCAATCATTTACATGGGAGGGATTCCTAAGTATTACTTTTGCTGCTAATATTGAAGAACAAGATTGATTGTAAGTGCTATTTAATGTGAAATATACTATTAATTGTCTAACCAGTTAAAGTTTATACTAGGCCTTTAGACTGACTTACCAAGAATTCTTGAAGTGTCTGGACTGTGACCTAAAACACATCTATATGCCCAACGTTCTGCATTTGAAGCAGCTTCAGAATACCATTCCTGCACAGAATAGAAGTCAACAGCAATAATCAATCAATGAGACATAATTTAAAATTGCAGAAAATATTTGTCTGATCATCTTTTTACTACTTTTTGACTTCCTTCAAATCTTGTAGTTAAGAATTCAGAAGTTACAGCAATATTCTCTAAAACATTCTTTGAATAGTTGGAGCTGGATTGTAAGGCTCCCTCCTCACCCTTTTCGACAACCAACCCATGTGTCCCCTGATGATTGCCATTAAGTGTTAAAATTCAGATTAAGATGGAGTTCTCTGATGAGTGTATGTTGACTGCCCTTACATGCAGGAACCAAAGAAAGAAATGGTCTTTTCCAATTCAAGAAAAAAAAAATAAGGTTAAGAGTTTTCAACATTTCAACCATTATTATTGTAGCTTATTTATTTATTATTCAAATATATATAGCTGCCAATCTGACAAAACTCTGGCTTATAAACAAAATTTAAAAAACAGTAATTCACAGTAATAGCAACAATTATTACCAAAAACATTAAAAACTATAAAACATAGCTAAAAAGAAATAATTGGCAAAAGGAAGCTAATAATAATAACCGGCCTCCCTAATTTTCCAGTTCCTTGGTGTCCTCAGCCTTGTGGTGGTGGTTGTGGGAAGGATACTTTACAATGTGGGCACCAGACCAGAGCCAGGAAAGCCCACTACCTAAGGCCTCCCAAATGTAACTCCCTAAATGGAACACACAGCGTGCCCTCTCTACTAGATCCGGTGAGACAGGAAGATGTAATTGGGCAAAGGTGGTTTCTCCAATAACCCATCCCCATCCCCATCCCATGTAGGACTTTAAAGGTGAGTCATTGTGAATAGAGCTCCTTGATCTAGGAATGGTCACAACTTGTGTACAATATGAAGTTGTATGAAGGCTCTCTTAGCCACAACTGCCATCTGCCCCTCAAGCAGGAGTTGTGAGTCCAGGAGGAAGATTGTGCACAGGATCGGTTTGGGGCAGTATAATGCCATCCAGCACCAAAGAAGTCATAGTCCCAGAACTGGAGGGTCCCAAACCTAAAGCCACTCAGTCACCAGGTTCAGGTGACGCCAGTTGTTCCCCATCCAGAGCATCACTTAATTTGCCAGGGATAGAACTGTAGAATCGAATCATATCAACATATTGATGATATTTCATCCCATGGTGACAGATGAGTTCTCTTAGCAATGTCATTTAGATGTTAAATAGGAGAGGGGAAGCAACAAACCCATGGAACCCCACATATTAGAGGCCCAGGACTGGCTGTCTTCTCCCCAATCACCAATCTCATCAAGGTTTCTCCATGATCAGTTCATGTATGACTCTTCTTTGATCATTTACACGGTAACATCCACTGGATTTTGTGATGCATATAGTAAGGGCTGAGGGATGTATCACGACACTGTCATTTTTAACAGATTAATAGAGTTGGAAGGGACCTTGTAGGTCATCTAGTCCAACCCCCCCCAAAGCAGGAGACCCAACACCAGGGATGTGAAATTCAAGGCCCGGGGCCCGGATCCAGCCTGCAGAATGCTTAGATCTGGCCTGTGAGGCCGCACTGGAAACAGCAAAGGACTGGCCCATAGTGCCTCTGCCAGTGAAAACAGAGCTTGGGAGGGCCATGCACAGTCACTCTTTTCGCTAGCAGAGGGCTGCAGGAGGCTGTCACATCTGAAAGTGGAGTCCAGAGGGGTGCGTGGGGCCCTCAAGCTCCATTTTCGCTGTCAGAGTGCTAGTAAAACAAACTACTAGCAAAAATGGACCCCCCAGCCCTGCCCAGACCATCACAGGTGCCCCTGACGTGAGTGTTGCCGAGCTGGCCATGTCCATCATAGGCATGCCCACCAGCCCCTCCCCAAGGTCATACACAACCCTGATGTGGCCCTCAATGAAATTGAGTTTGACACTCCTGCCCTACAACATTTCTGACAAATGGCAGTCCAGTTTCTTCTTGAAAGCTTCCAGTGACCCTAACCATTTCATTTATGTCATTCTGACTACCCCACCACCTTCCTTCTTTTTCATAGATGTCACAATATTTATTTATTTACATAAATCATTCCAATTAGTATTTTCATTCTGTTTTCTGGTGATACTGCGTGAATCAAAGATCTACCTGGGCTATTTGCTTTGCCAATATGCATTGCTATTTTAATGGGTAAAATGGTTTTACTCTTGAGGAAAGCTAATCAAGAGATTTTTTTATCAAACTAAAGAACTTTGAGATTGTAATTTATGTGAAATGTTCAAATCTGCAAGTCTAGCCTTTGCTGCAATTATGGTAATTAAAGATACAAGAGCCAATATTGGAAAAAATGTAAAAAATACAGCTATATGGAGATACTAGAAATTGCTGAAGACCAGGAGTGGGTTCTACTTACCTTACTACCGGTTCGCATCAAGCCTGCGCGCACATGCACAGATCACCTATGATGACATCTGGGTCAGTGGGCGGAGCCTCCTTTCAGTTTTACTACCGGTTCTTGTGAACTGGTCCAAACCGGGGGCAATCCACCACTGCCGAAGACCCTCTTAACCTAATCCCCCCTCAATTTCCTACTTTGATTGTATGTTTTCATGATCTTTTTTTCATCGTATATTTCCCTGTGTGGTACTATAACTAATAGATTCAAATAAAACTACAAATACACCTAAGTCCATATTGGCAAAAAAAACCCTATCCGAATTATTCAATCATATTATAAATAATAAGTATGTTCTCTTATCCTAGTTGTAAACCACATAATATCATATTAGTAAGAAACTTTCAAACTCTCTGACAAATACAATTACATTTAGATTACCATTTTTAGCATGTTGCTGGCAGTTGGACTCACGGATCTCCTGAAAGAATTGTGCATGCCAACAATCTCCCTTTGTTTGTCTTGTCTCCTGGGTGACTCAGAATCAAAATCAACCTTAAGATAGCAAGCAAAATAAAATAAAATAAAAACAATTAAAAATTGTATGACTTAAAATAGAACAGGCAACTAATGGCCTCAGGACTCAGGACCAGTCCTTGTGAATGACTTTGCCTTCTGTCTCCTTCTATCACCATTCTACTCCCTGCAACTTTCTTCTGACCCCCAGCTATGAAACAGTGGCCCCATTTGTATATGTATTTGAAAAGAGACTAGCCACAACATAGGAAACATAATCACAGAGCCAAGTTAAAATGAATTAATCATTTTTCTCTAATCTATTCTTCATGGAAATACTGCAGTGGTATGTATGCATTTATATACATCCTAAGTGGCTCAAAACAGGAATAAAAAGAGAGCCATCCTACTCATCAAGTGCCAAACCAATCAGCCTCATTGAACCCCCATCCCAGTCCAACATTTGTGGGGTGGGGGATGGCAGAGCTAGGTCTTCACTGCCCCCTGGAAGTCTTAAAAGGGTAGGGATCCCTCAAATCTCATGTGTGTGGGGGCTGTTCCAGCGGATTGGGACTTGGGTTCTGTTATAGGCCACAAGCATTAAAATTAGTCAGATTCTTTTCATTAAATGTGCCTGTTTTAATTATATTTGACTGCCCCATTCAGCATGATTTTGTTTGCTTTGTGTGTTCAACCCTGGAATATACTTACGAATTAAAATGAACAGTTAGATTCACTGACCAGACCAGAGTAATGAATGCTAATACTATTTGATTAAAAGGTTACAGTATTACACCAAGAATCTTGAAAGTCTGGATTCAGATTTATCTCACTGTTGTCTCAGCTGCATCTCCTCTTCTTGCTCATAAAGATTATTTCTATCACCCATCACACATGTGGAACAATACAGCACATATTAGGCAGTTTAATGAATGATTAATTGTAAGAGGAGAAAGTTATGTACCTGCTAAATTCCCGGTTTAAATATGGGCTGAGGCGAGACAATCGGTACAATCGGTATTTTATTAACAAACGGCAGAACTGAACGAAAGGCAACAAAACCCTGACAGCGTTTATATATGCTGGCTGTCAAACCCAACCACCAATCAACTGGCACCTTTTCTCCCGCCCTTGTGGCTGCTTCTGCGTCAGCCAATCAGGGAACGGTGCCTCCATTGTTAGGCAACGTGCCGAACACAACAATACCCTATATATTAAATCTGCTATATGTGATACAAAATTATTAAACTTACATTTCCAAAAGACTGTTGCAGCACTGCAGCAAGACTTAGTAAGATGAAGACAATCATTTCTAAAAACAAAAGAACATTGAGCTTAATCTCCTTAATGGAATTTGTGCCAACTTTCTTTAAATTAAGACCCAACTGAAGACCTGGTGGCCGCCAGGGATAGGGCGGCTGCTGGAGCTTTGGACCGTGTCATGCCTTTGCGGCCTCTGACCTGGCACCGATCTCACTTGGCTCCCTGGTTTCCCGAGGAGCTGAGGGAGATGAAGCCCCGGAAAAGATGCCTGGAGAGCAGTTGGAGAGCTAGCCTTTCCGAATCTGACTGAACACTGGTGAGGTCTCATATTAAGACCTACCTAGTGGCGATAAAAGTGGCAAAATTTAATTATTTTTCCGCTCTTATTGCGTCTGAAGATAACCGCCCAGCCGCCCTGTTTAGAGTGACCCGCTCCCTGCTCCATCCGGGAGCGCAGGAAGACCCTTTGCAGGGTAGAGTTGAGGATTTTGTGCAGTATCTGCATGATAAAGTTGCTCAAATTCGGGACTCCAACTGGGTAGATTTGGGGGGGGAGATGAGGGCGAATGGTCTTGAGAGTGTTATCTGGGAGGAGTTTGACCCTGTGGCTCCCGAGGATGTGGACAGGATTCTGGATAGGCTTAGCACGGCCACATGTTTATTGGACCCGTGTCCCTCCTGGTTGGTGCTGGCTTCCTGGGAGGTAACACGTGGCTGGCTCCAGAGGATTATCAATGCTTCTTTGAGTGAGGGTTATTTTCCCGCTGCCTTGAAAGAGGCGGTGGTGAGGCCCCTCCTCAAGAAGCCCTCCCTAGACCCGGCCATTTTAGCAAATTATCGTCCAGTCTCCAACCTTCGCTTTGTGGTGAAGGTTGTTGAGAGTGTGGTGGCGCGACAACTTCCCCAGTACCTGGATGATGTGATCTATCTAGATCCGCTCCAGTCAGGTTTCAGGCCTGGGTACAGCACGGAAACGGCATTGGTCACATTGGTTGATGATCTCTGGAGGGCTCGGGACAGGGGTTGTTCCTCTGTCCTGGTCCTTTTAGATCTCTCAGTGGCTTTTGATACCATTGACCATGGTATCATGCTGTGCAGTTAGTGGGGTTGGGGGTGGGGGGCACCATGCTACAGTGGTTCTCCTCCTTTCTCTCTGACCAGTCACAGTTTGTGTTGGCAGGGGGACAGAGGTCGACCTCGAGGCACCTTATGTGTGGGGTGCTGCAAGGATTGGTCCTCTCACCCCTCCTGTTCAACATTTATGTAAAGCCGCTGGGTGAGATCGTCCGTGGTTTCAGGGTGCAGTTCCATCAGTACACTGATGACACTCAGCTGTACATTTCCACCCCGAACCACCCCAATGATGCCCTTGCCGTGATGTCCCGGTGCCTGGAAGCTGTGTGGACCTGGATGGGGAGAAACAGGCTCAGGCTCAACCCTGCCAAGGCCGAGTGGCTGTGGCTTCCGGTGTCCCGATATAGTCAGCTGGTGCCATCGCTGACTATTGGGGGAGAGTCGTTGGCCCCCACAGAGGGGGCTCACAACTTGGGTGTCCTCCTGGATGCACGGCTGTTCTTGGAAGAACATGTGGCGGCCGTGGCCAGGGGAGTGTTTTATCAGGTTCGCCTATCCACCAGTTGCGTCCGTTTCTGGATTGGGACTCCTTACGCACGGTCACTCATGCCCTCGTCACCTCCCGTCTGGACTACTGCAATGCTCTCTACATGAGGCTCCCCTCAAAGAGCACCCTGAGGCTCCAACTGGTCCAGAATGCGGCCGCACAGGTGATTGTGGGAGCGACATGGCGCTCCCATGTAACACCTCTCCTGCGCAAGCTGCACTGGCTTCCAGTGGTTTTCCGCATGCGATTCAAGGTGCTGGTTACCACCTTTAGAGCGCTCCATGGCTTAGGACCCGGGTATCTTCGAGACCGTCTTCTGCCACCACAAGCCTCCCACCGGCCAGTACGCTCCCACAGAGAGGGGCTCCTCGGAGTGCCGTCGGTCAAACAGTGTCAGCTGGCGGCCCCCAGGGGGAGAGCCTTCTCTGTGGGGGCACCTGCCCTATGGAACGAATTGCCTCCGGAGATAAGAGGATTCCAGATCTACGCACCTTCCGCCGTGCCCTCAAGACCTTTCTATTCCAACAAGCCGGGCTGGCCTAACTCTTTTAATTGAGTAATTTAGTTCTTAATTTGATTTTAAATTGGGGCTGTTTTAATTGTCATGGGCCAATACTATTTAATTTGTTTTAAACTATTTTTAAATTTTGTATTCTATATATTTTTATCTTCGGCTGTTCACTGCCCTCAGTCCTTCAGGAGAAGGGCGGTATATAAATTTGAATAATAAATAAATAAATAAATAGTTCAGATATCTCCTAGACCACAAAACTTACTCTAATTCTTAAGCATTTTCTCTCTTTTACTCCCTTGTACTCCAATAGGCGTCCTACATATCCATGGTTCATTCTAAGGATATGTAAATCATTTATATACAAATCATCTATACAATAGTTCCAGAGGTGGGTTTCAGCAGGTTCTGACCAGTTCTGGAGAACCGGTAACAGAAAATAGAAATGCTGACTGGCCCCACCCCCATCTATTCTCTGCCTTCCGAGTCCCAGCTGATCGGGAGGAAATGGGGATTTTGCAGTAACCTTCCCCTGGAGTGGGGTGGGAATGGAGATTTTACAGTATCATTCCCCTGCCACACCCACCAAGCCATGCCCACCAAGCAATGCCACGCTCACCAAGCCACGCCCACAGAACTGGTAGTAAAAATTTTTGAAACCCACCACTAAATAGTTTCTTAAGTTTTCTCTTATTGATTTGCTGCGGTAAAAGATAACTTTCACCCCAGCCATTTCCATAAAATCCAATCAAAAAATCACACCCATCAGAGATTATTGAATCTAAAATTCAATAATGTCTGAACGGTCCCAGGTTAGAAACATCTCGTTTAGAATATATTGTTTCTCAGTCTTTTGCCTTATATCAAATATGATCAATTATATCAGCAGATGCAAAAGATACATGGCTAACACATTTGGCAATGGAAATTGCTCCTGAGGCAATGCAATCAGAATTTGTTCCTGATTGCAAGAATTTGTCCTGGCAGCCTTTATCTTGAGAGCGTGTAAAGAGATTGGATTAACATGATTCTTAATTGACTTCCCAGTGTCTCAGGTGTGCTAGGAAGTGATGTGACACCACTGTATATGGAGTTGGCTTTTCTGTGGCCCTTTTCCATAGCTGTAGCATCTAATGAGAAACTACAGGCAGCAGAAGCTGAGAAGCATATAAATTTAATCATAATTTTTTTTAAAATCAAATTGCTGAGTTAGAACCCTAGCACCATGCATAAAATATTGGGAGGCACTAAACCAGACTGCCAAAATCCATAATAACAGAGAGGAGAAAATAGAAAAAACAGTATATTTTATGAGCTCAGTTTCTCTTAGGAAAAAGTATTAAACCAAAAAGCAAAAAGGGTTAGGATAAAGTTGAGGTCTGATGTATTGCAATATACATTTACAGACCAGTGGTACAAATGTTTATTTGGAAGTCAGTCCCATTGAGTTCAATTTGCATTTCATTCATATAAATGCACAAAAAGATCTGTAGCCTTGAAATACTTTTAATTCTAATTTCCTCTTTCCAGGGAATCTTAGAAATATTAGTTTAGTAAGGGAAGGTTCCCAGGAATGCCTAATAGGATCATTGGCAAACTCAAAAACCAGCAGTGTCAGATTTTTAAAAAGAATATCATGCTATTTAAGCCAGCATAAAACCTAATGTATTATGGTAATAGATGTAACATATTCTCAAAAATAGAACAAAATAATAAAATTTCATAAAAGTTGCAAACATACTAAATGCCTTTCCCCCTAAAATTATCCTAGCTTGCTTAATTACAAATAATGTAATTAAACAAGATGCAGTAAAATAATAAATCTTACCTGTTGTGTTGAATAAACCTGAAGGTAACTTCTTTGCTGCTTTCAGAAAATCGTGGAACTCAGACAGACAGTACCAGGTTTATATACCTTCACTGCTTCCTGTAATTCAGAGTGACTCAGTGCTCAACAGTAAATTATATCCCTTAAGCCTTGTAAGACAGAAGTTTGGATTTGTCTCAAGTTGTTTTTTTCTTCTCGGTTGTCAATCAGTTCCTTAATGATTGACATTACAACTGTGAGAGATCTCACGAAGGTTGATGGTTCGTTGAGGGCGCTTCCAAGAAAAAGGCAGCACGCAGGGATGCAATCAAGTTGAATCTTTATTTAGGAATAAAGTAGAATAAATGAGTTCACTGGCATGGAGGCATCCATGCCTGGATTGAGCCCATGGGTCAGTCCCGTAGGAAGCTAGAACAAGAGCCAAAGAGCAGCCCCTGTGCAGGGGTTCTTATAGGGGGCCCCTGGCCCCTCCCTTACCAATGTGTGTGAGGGGGCCGGAGGGCCATTAACTCTCCCCAATGGGGCTGCAGGGGCCGGAGCCCATTGACCTACCAGTGGGATCCAAGGTGCCTCTTTGCTCCCATCTGGTGGCCTTTTAAGAAACTGCCATGGCTGGCACAAAACACCTAACAACAACAGACTCAGAAATAGTTACTTACAACTCATTGTTAAAGATATGACTGTGCTCCCCGCCCCGGGTAACATGATTGTATTTTGAGTGTTTGGTAACCAGCTCACATTTACATCTGGTTACAATAATTCACAATCATGTGACTGTGATTTGCGACTTTTTTGCCTTTTTCCAGCATAAAATGGCAAAAAATATACATTGGATATGCTGGATTTGCTTAACAACTACATGGTTTGCTTAATCACAGTGACACATAATCAAAATTTGGGGTCCATTGTGATTGTTAAGCAAGGACTACTTATGTTATCATCTCTTTAGATTTCAAGATAATGTAAAAATATTGAAAGTATACAGACGATGGCCTTGTGATCATTTAAATTCTAAACTCCATACACTAATATTGTAGTATGAAGAATGATAACCTTGATTTATAGTAACTTTCTACAATAGGTGCTCTTCAGAAGGTCTGGGCTTTAGGTAGTGGTGGGTTGCCGCTGGTTTGCACCGGTTCTATAGAACCGGTAGTAAAACCGGCGGGAGGCCCCGCCCACAGACCCCGATGTCACCAAAATGTTCTGCGCATGCGCAAAGCGCACATGCGCATGGCCCCATTGCAAACCGGTAGTAAAGGTAAGTAGAACCCACCCCTGGCTTTAGGTATCCTAATTCCTAACCAGAATAGCTAGGTAATCTTAGCCAACCATACCATCTAAACTTCTGTGGTAGCATGACAAGCAATAATATGGACCCCCTTTTCATGACCATCCTCAGTGTGTTGCTTTCCATAACAACCGATCTGAAGTTCCATGTCCTGCCAGGTTCATCTGCTGTAAGTGGCTTTGTTTTACCCCTTGACAAATACCAGGGACATCTCTGGGCTTCCCACATTTACAAATCTGGAGTTCATAAATCAGCTCTACCTGTTAAGGACGTCTATCAGGATTGACTCAAAGATATCTGAAGATGTTTCTGTCAGATTTTAGGCCAAGGACCATTGATCCTCAAACACCCTGTATTAGTTTGACTATCACAACCACATTTAGCCACAGAGTACTCACAGTAACCGTCTGCCTAATATGGACCCCAAATACTTGTAACTCTTTGAATACTGCTGTCAAATCTATCCTTAGGATATCCATAGTGCCTTTTGGTCTTAGTACCACACCAAGGATGGTACCATATCTTCCATCCCTTCTCATCATGGCCATGCTACAACATCCAGGCTACACCCCTCTTTAGGTCTTTGAGCAAGCTTAAGGCTTACAAATCAGTGCAGGTTTACTTAAAGCTTAATAAATGTCATATAAAATTGAACATCTAATATTTTGTAAATATTTGTGAAGCTCATTGTGCTAATCTAAGGAAATGTCATCTTCTTTCCAAATTCCTCCCCCCCTTTGCTTCTTCTGACAATCTGAGAAAATCTGGAACCAGTTTTTCCTTGTTAAAAAAACAAACAAAAAAGGGCTGGAAGTGGAAAAGGCAAGAGAAATAGATCAGGGAGCCCTAAGTGCTTTTGCAAAATTATATAAAAATAAAGGAAGAATCAGTGTTTCTCATATGGCTCCTTTCATTAAAACCCAGACAAAATTTCCCCATTCTGAGAGGGGGCATCACCTGCTGGAGATGTACGTAGCCATTTCATTGTTATTTCTAAAGTGCAATAATGGGGTTTCTCTTATGAATGTCCTACACTAAATAGAACAGAACAGAGCAGAACAGAACAGAACAGAATTCTTTATTGGCCAAGTGTGATTGGACACACAAGGAATTTGTCTTCGGTGCATATGCATAAAAGGGAAAAAAAGAAAAAAATACACTAATCAACAATCATAAGATACACCACTTAGTGATAGTCATAGGTTACCAATAAACAATTAAATCATACTAGGAAACAAACAGAACAATATAAATAGTAAAAATACAAGGAACATGGTTATAGTCATAAGTGGGAGGAGATAGGTAATAGGAAGGATGAGAAGTAAATAGTTTGACAGTGGGAATTAGTTGTTTAGCAGAGTGATGGCATTCAGGAAAAAACTGTCCTTGTGTCTTGTTGTTCTGGTGTGCAGAGCCCTATAGCGTCTTTTTGAGGGTAGAAGTTGAAACAATTCATGTCCAGGATGTGAGGGTCTGTAGAGATTTTCACAATCCTCTTTTTGACTCGTGCAGTACACAGATCCTCAATGGAAGGCAGGTTGGTAGTAATAGTTTTTTCTGTAGTTCTAATTATTCCTTGAAGTCTGTATCTGTCTTGTTGGGTTGCAGAGCTAAACTAAGTAGTCATAAAGAAGCAGATGTTTAGCAAAAACTACTAGGAGTTTCTAAAGGAAAGTGCCCTTTCATTCCCATTCTAACATTTTTCCTCCAGGCATTTTATTTTTAGAGCCACATTTGGCTGGAAACTTACTTGAATTTTGTGTATGAATAAAAAGATCCAAACCAAAAGAAAGTTAGCCTTTCCCAACTGTGCAGCAATGCAAGCATTTTAAAATTACCATTGCTTGCTGGAACTGAAGTAATATTTATGAAATTCGTTTTGTACCACTTTTTAAAAAATATAATGTTAGTGAAAGAGTTTTTTAAAAGTAAAAATGAATGCAAACTAAAATAAGAGTAAAAAGAAAAAAAAAGAAAAGGGAAGAAATGAAAGAGAAAGCCAAAATGCAAAAAGAAAAAGACACAAGAAAAACAGAAAAGAAAGAAAAAATATAAAGAAGTGGCTTCCAATCTTCTTTGCAGCACTTATAAATACAATTATAGATTTACCTCTTTCTCTAAAATTATGTTGTGACTCTCTTCTTTCTGTAACCTATCCTACCTACTTGTCAAAACCATAGTGTGTAAGTATGTTTTTCTGTTTTAAACAAAAAGTCCATAAAGTTTCCAGTCAGCAATAAATATAGATAATTGTCTTTTCTCTCATCAAACAGGTCAATTTGGCCATCTCAGTTCTATCACGTTCACCAACCATTCCTCTGTTGTAGGTATTATCTGTTCTTTCCATCACTGACCGTTCAATAATTGTATGTATGTATGTATGTATGTATGTATGTATGTATGTATGTATGTATGTAAAACAATGTTCTCAACTCTGTGGAGGTTTCTAGTTTCAGTTGTATATTAATCTTTAAAGTGTTCTGACCCCAAAACCTTCTAAGTTTTTTGCACATCCCAGCATGATAAAATAACCCTTCTTGTTGTTCACATTCCAATATAGATTTGAAGTATACTTATGCATTCTAGATAAATTTTCTACTGTCATATATCAATGGTATATCATAATTTATTCTGTATCATGTTTGAGGAATTTAAAATGTATGGAATTTATTTTATGAGTAATAATGTTTTCAAAAAATGAAGGTAGTATTCCTCATAATTTTAATACTAGAATCTTCCTAGGATCCCATAATTAGCATGAGGATGGAAATGTAATTTCTGTAATTAATTTAATTTAATTTAATATTTAAATTTATATACCGCCCTTTTCCCGAAGGACTCAGGGCGGTGAACAGCCAGAAGTAAAAAACATCAAATACAAAATATAAAAACAATTTTAAAATGAATTAAACAATTTGGCCCGACAGTTAAAATCCCCCATTAAAAATCCAAATTAAAATACACAATTGGAGAGATTAGGCCAGCCTGATTTGATGAAATAAAAAGGTTTTGAGGGCCCAACGGAAAGTACGTAAGTCTGGAATCATCCGCATCTTCAGGGGGAGCTCATTCCAGAGGGCAGGTGCTCCCACAGAGAAAGCTCTCCCCCTGGGGCCGCCACTCGGCATTGTTTGGCCAACGGCACCCGGAGGAGCCCCTCTCTGTGGGAGCGTACTGGCCGGTGGGAGGCTCTCGGTGGCAGAAGGCGGTCCCGTAAATATCCTGGCCCTAAGCCATGGAGCGCTCTAAAGGTGGTCACCAACACCTTGACTCACACCCGGAGGACCACCGGGAGCCAGTGCAGCTCACGCAGGAGAGGTGTTACATGGGAGCACCATGACGTGCCCATAATTTTTTTTTTTTAATTTGATTTATATGCCGTCCTTCTCCGGAGACTCAGGCCGGCTTACAGTGCGTTAAGCAATAGCCTTCATCCTTTTGTATATTTATACAAAGTCAGCTTATTGCCCCCACAAACTGGGTCCTCATTTAACCTACCTTAGAAAGGATGGAAGGCTGAGTCAACCTTGAGCCTTGGAGAGATTCGAACCAGCAGTAAATTGCAGGCAGCTGTGTTAATACCAGGGTGCTAATAATCACCCACGGGGCTGCATTCTGGACCAGTTGGAGCCTCCGGGTGCTCTTCAAGGGGAGCCTCATGTAGAGAGCATTGCAGTAGTCCAGGCCGGAAGTGATGAGGGCATGAGTGACCGTGCGTAAGGAGTCCCAATCCAGAAAGGGACGCAACTGGTGAATCAAGCGAACCTGATAAAAAAAACCCCTGGCCACGCCCGTCACATGTTCTTCCAAAGACAGCTGTGCATCCAGGAGGACACCCAAGTTGTGAGCCCTCTCTGTGGGGGCCAACGACTCGCCCCCAATAGTCAGAGATGGCACCAACTGACTATATCGGGATGCTGGAAGCCACAGCCACTCGGTCTTGGAAGGGTTGAGCTTGAGCCTGTTTCTCCCC